TAACTGAGGTTTACTTTACTGCACGTCACTTTGCTTTAGTAAATCATCCCTTATAAACAGATTGACATGTTCCTGGAGGAACTTGTCAGTGTCCCTGTAGGACGGCCCTCAGAAGGAAAGAATTTTTCCATTAAAAAATACATGTGTCCCCATCACCACAATCTTATCTCTGGTACACAGTGTTTTCTTCCTTAACTTTCCCGCAACCATTGATCAACAGAGTGAATTATAATTTGCTTGTGTACATAAAATATAATTAGCAATAAACATTTTTATCAGTGAAGATAAAGTCGCACAATAAAAATCTTTTTAGTGCACTTAGTTGCCATAATAACGCTGAAAATATTTCAAAACATTTACTTGTGTTTGCAGCATACCACACAGATTATTTTTTATAAATGTACTGAGTATATGGATTTGAAGAAATTACAAAAATATTTAAACTTTTTTATATAAAGTTGATGCATTCCCAGTCTGGAAAGATTCTACCACTGAGATCAACATGAAGAAAAAATGTTTGCTAGGATTAAAAATTCTGGGCTATCTATCTTCACTCACTGGGGAGAATAGACATTCTTAACAAATATGTTGGGCCTCCACACCTCACTTGTCAGTGCTTGTCTCTTGTTTCAGACAGGTATATTATTTTGCCGTATCATCTCTCCTGCACCATCACCTTTCTTGTCTAATCTCAGGTGCACAGCCAATGGAGGCACCACACAAATCCATAGGCACAAAAAATGGCCAGCACACCAATAAAAGCATCTCAAATACTGGAATAATATTTTTTACTGCATGTTTTGCCATTAAGTTATCAGTAAATGTTTGAGATTGTCTTTTTGATGTGTTGGCCATTTTTTGTCTATTGGTACATCAGTCTGTCAGAGGACATCACTTTGGTTGAAGTGTTCATGCTATTCAGCCTAGCATCATTGGTTTCTAGGACACTGGTGGCCTGCACCGTAGCAACTGATAGAGTACATCCTAGACAAAATAATACACTCCCCACCCCACATAACTCTGGTCTGTCTGCATGCCAACCTTGAGTTGATACTAATTTCCTCCAGGTTTGTTATTTAAGAACTGGTGATATTTCTTTTTTAATTTGTGGCGACCCACATTGTAAAAGTGATGCAAATAAGAACTACCCGAATCTGTCACACGTTGGAACTGTTACGACACTGTCACAAAGCTTTTATAAAAGTGGAACAGGGCGTTTTAAAGTGACCCTACCACCATAAAAGTGTTCCGAATGCTTCACTGAACTCTTCCACTGTCCTAAAAGGAGGAATAAACCTCATGCCTTTTGGAATTTTGTCCAAAGTGATGAAATGTTGCTTTTTGTTTTATGAATACATATTGTGCTTTGCCCCTCAAGCCCCACTTCATAGGGTCATATCAGGCAAGTCATGACAGACTGCAAAAAATCGCTCCAGGTATGGCTTTTGCCCATCTAGGTGTGTGGGTGCATGCGTGTGCTAGCATTTTACAGCATTTGCTTGGGGGGGGATAAGGCCCATGGCCAGAGCTATACAGGCCATTTAAGGCAAGCCTCAGCATACGTGCAGCTGATAGGTCTTCTGCTGCTCTTCATATTCTGTGACCTTTGTCCCGCTATCCTGGTTGTCTTCCCATTACTGACCTAGCTTCAACCTATTATTTCTTGCAACCAGTACTGACTCTGGCTTGTACCCCCTGATTACACATCTGTTTGCCTATTGTGGATCTTATCTGCTGTCCATTATTGTCTCTGGTTCATATTCTCAACTATACACCTACCTGCCATTCAGCACCTCATCACCTGCCACTTGTTGACTCCAGCCTTTTACATGGCTATGCCTCTGCCCACCACACTGGTACCCAACTGTTTGTTGCTGATACCAATCCAGACCCAATGTTCTGCAGTTATTTCAAAACTCACTAGTTTCAGCTGAACATCAGGCTTTCAAGGAACACATGACACACTGGGAGTTATTTACTAAAACTAGAGGGTGCAAAATCTGGTGCAGTTCTGCCAAGAAACCAATCAGCTTCCAGGTTTTATTGTCAAAGCCTAATTGAGCAAGCTTAAAGTGGAACTGCACTGCTTATGAACACCACAAAAAAAAGCTATTTAATTAATTGTTAATTAATCATCCATTAATCCATGTCTCCATTTTTTTTTTTGATTAAAAAATAATTTTGAAAAACACCTCCTGGCATTTTTGGCAGCGGCCATCTTGAGTAAGGGCAGATGATTCATGTAGCATTTACTTCCTGAAATCCATCTGCCCTTAGCTCAGGCATTGGCTGAGCTGAGAACCATTCCTCCCCTTGTAAACACTGCTGGGATGTATAACATCATTTGCCTAGGCATGAAAACCAGGAAGTAACTGAAGAAATGTAAAAAAAAGTTTAAAATAAGTAAATATGATATACTTTCCTATCCATTTACTAATGCTAGCGACATAGAGATTAAAAATAGTCCATGTTGATTGAGAGAGAGTGAAGTTACACTTTAAGTTAGATTCTGATTGGTTTCTATGCAGATCTGCACCTGATTTTGCACCCTCCAGGTTTAGTAAATCTCCCCCTATGTGGCACTTGTGTACTGTAGAAGGAGCCATGGGTTGGAGGTGCAAGAGATGTTGTCCTCATCCCTTCAGACCCCTGACTAAGTATGTGACAGTTCTGTCACTGATGAAAGCCAAGTTGTCTGAAACTGTTGTATGCAGGTTGATTTGAATGTAAATGAATGCTGTATTTGTGGTATAATCAAGCAAACCACAGTTGGCCAAAGACATATGAGGAAATAATTGTATATATCACTTTAATCACTTTAATATCCTGAGCAAAGGAATATGTATTAAGGATAGTATATATTTTAAAGTGTACATGTTTGAATCTAATAAATAAGGCAGGGTATTCCTTTGTATAAATATATATACTGTATATGTAAGACTAAGACCCAGCAAGACTTCGACCAGTATAAATCTGCCCTTCAAAAATACAACTCCCGGCTCCACACAAACAGCCCTGTTTTATCACTCTCATTACCACCCTCTCATGCAATCCCCATCAACTCTTTTCTACCTTTAACTCTCTATTTTGTCCTCCTTTACCACCCACTAACTCACTCACTGCCCTGGAGATCGCTAATCACTTTAAAAGTAAGATTGATACAATTCGTGACAAGATCTCCACTGTACAGATATCTCTCTCACTCTTCACTCCTTGTCCACCTGCACAATCTATACTTTCCTTGTTTAACCCAGCTACTATAGAGGAGGTTGCTAAACTTTTTTCTAAAGCCCACCTAACCACTTGTCTCCTGGACCCTGTTCCCTCGCAAATACTATGGTCACCCTCTGGCTCAATCCTTCACTCTTCAACTCATATCTTCAATCTCTCCCTTTCTACTGGCTTTTGCCCCAACTCTCTAAAACATGTGCTACTCACCCCATACTTAAAAAGGCCTCACTGGACCCCACCAATCTTAGCAACCTAAGACCTATCTCCTTACTCCCTTTTGCCTCCAAACCCCTTGAACATCTAGTCTACAACCGGCTGAGCTGCCACCTTGTTGAGAATAACCTTCTCAATCCCCTTCAGTCTGGATTTTACCCACAGCACTCCACAGACACTGCTCACCTAAAACTCACAAATGACTTGCTAACCGCTAAAACCAATGGTCACTATTCCGTGTTCTTACTCTTCGACCTCTCTACTGCCTTTGACACAGTTGACCACCCCCTCCTCCTCGAAAAACTCTATTTACTTGGTCTCCGTGACTGAACTCTCCGTTTGTTTGAATCTTACCTATCTCACCGCACCTTCAGTTGCAACTCTGCTTCCTCCTCTCCTACTCCTCTTACTGTCTGGGTCCCCCAAGGTTTTGCCTTTGGACCTCTCCTATTCTTGATATACACTTCTTCCTTGGGTCAGCTGATATCTTCCCATGATTTCCAATACCATTTCTATGCTGATTACACACAAATCTGTTTCTCTACTAACCCTATATCAGTTTTCTCAAGTATCACTGATTTACCTCCACAACATCCCCAGACCCTACGATTCCCTATCTTTTTAACCAATGATACACACAAAGCTCCTAATTCACTCCCTGGTAATCTCTCGCCTCAACTACTGCAACTCCCTCCTCATTGGCTTACCTTTACATAGGTTATCCCCCCTCCAATCCATCATGATTACTGCTGCCAGGCTCATCAGTGTCTGATACCCCTCTCTGCCAATCCATCCACTGGCTTCCACTCGCACAACTAAAACAATTCAAAATACTGACAACTTACATAGCCATCCACAACTCACTCTGCCCCCAGCTACATCATCAACCTGATCTCAAAATATCAACCAAATCGCCCTCTTCAATCCTCCCAAGACCTTCTGCTCTCTAGTTCCCATGTCACTTCCTCCCATGCTCACCTCCAGGACTTTTTCCGAGCTTCTCCCATCCTATGGAATGCCCTACCCCAATCTGTCCAATTATCTCCTAATCTATCCACCTTTAGATCCCTGAAAAGCTTTCTCTTTAAAGAAGCCTATCCTACTTCTAATTAGTAATCTGCCTTTTATTTCCTCCATCAGCTCATCCCCCACAGCCCTGATCTTTTGTATCACTCAACTCTTCCTCCTAAATTGTAAGCTGTAACGAGCAGGGCCCTCTGTTTCCTCTTGTACCAAATTGTTTTGTAACTGTAATGTCTACCTTCATTTTGTAAAGTGCTGCAGAAACTGTTGGCTCTATGTAAATCCTGTATAATAATTATATATATATATATATATATATATATATATATATATATATATACACTCACTGTCCACTTTATAAGGAACATCTTGCTAGTGCCAAGAAAATATCCCACACATCATTGCACCGGCACCAGCCTAAACCATTGATACAAGGCTGGATGGAACCATGCCTTCATGTTGTTTACACCAAATTTTGACCCTACCATCTGGATGTCACAGCAACCAGTCTGCCCCAGGGGCGGACTGACAACTCATGGGGCCCCCGGGCAATAGGGGATCATGGGGCCCCTGTGTCCTTGCCCAAACTCAAAAAAGCCTATGAAAAAGGTACCAGAGGCATCTCATGGGGTCCCCTACTGACCCCGGGCCCTCGGGCAGTGCCCGAGTTTCCAAATGGTCAGTCCGCCCCTGGTCTGCCCATTCTCCTCTGACCTCTGACATTGACAAGACATTTTCGTCCACACAACTGCCACTCACTGGATATTTTTTTTTTTTTCAAACCATTCTCTGTAAACCCTTGAGATGGTTGTGCGTGAAAATCTAGGTAGATCAGCAATTTTATAAATACTCAGACCAGCCTGTCTGGCACCAACAACCAGGTCACATTCAAAATCCCTTAAATCCCATTTCTTCCCCATTCCAATGCTCAGTTTGAACTTCAGCAAGTCGTCTTTACACGTCTACATGTATAAATGCATTGACTTGCTGCCATGTGATTGGCTAATTAGCAATTTGTGTTACCAAGCAATTGAACAGGTGTACCTAATAAAGTGGCCGGGGAGTGTATACACAATTATATACATTTATGGTGGACATGAGCAGTCATGGAAATACTCTTAAGTTAAAAGTGTACAGCATAGAATTATCTAGTTTATTTTCACATTAACAATTCTGTTGTAGGTTTGCCGTTTACAATATCTAGCAACCAATTTGTTTGCAGGAAATAGAAAAAAATTATGTTACTAGGTAACAATCTTGCAAAACTTGAAGGAAATTGAAACATAAAAATGTATGCTGGTTAAGTGGTTGCATGTCGAATATTGGTATGACATGTCAGTTAAGACTGTGATTGATGTTACTTTATATGTTGTGTGACTTTGTTTGCCATGACATCTATCCTACACCTTAGTAACAGCCTTTCCTAATGTAATTCGCTCCTCTGTAGTCACAAGGCAAGATTTATATGTTTTTCTTTGATGCTGATGTATATTAGTTGAAAGTGGTATGTTTTATCTCCATAAGACTAGGTTTTGTCAGGCAGCATTTTCTGCCACCCTCTGAAAAGCAATCTGCGGTAGATCACTTTTCATAGGGGGTAGAGTAGTGGCTTCCAGATGTTTTATAATTTTTTTTTTGTAAACATGCTAAAGAGCAGTGTCAAGGGACCAAACCCCTACCATCCCACCCTTTGGTCAGCATGCAGTAGGCCAGCTCCTCAGCACAGGACCCAGAAGATTGTGGCTATCACTATAGTAGCATCGACTACTATGGTGATTTTCAGATTCCACAGTGGCCCATCATATATGAGATATACAAACTTACATGGTACCAAGCTGGACTAGTGTAAGCATGCAATAAAGATTATACCTGGAGTTCACCTTTGACTACCAAAATATTATACTACACTAAACTTTTCATCCAACTTTTAAAGTGATACAATGGTTATTTTGAAAAGCCAGTATATAGGAAATGTAGCCATAAATTTATGGCTGAACCAGTCATTTTTTGGTGTGTCTTTATCTACATACTTTGAGCTTAAAACTGTCCCTCTTTCTCATCTCCAAAAGTTGAGAGGTAGGTACTCTAGGTGTGCTCTTCCAAACCTTTAAATGTACCTGAAAACACAAAGAGAGTTCTGTACTATTGGTTTTAATGGACCTTTTCAACTTTAATTTTTTTTTTTACGAGGTACTTTTTAAGGAAATTCTGCTTACCAAAATTAATGTATACTTTCCAGCACGTGTTTCTTCTATATGGTGGAATGGTACAGCATGTAAAACACATGTAATAAATGCATTTTATATGTATTTTTATGCATTGCTCTGTAAAAAATATAGAAAATTCCCTCCAATGCAAATGCAGAAAATATATGATAAAATGTGTACAAAGCATGAAACACACAAGCAAAGTGCATCAAAATGCATCACAGTGCATGGACGTGGCTAGCCAATGACTAGAGTTGAAGGGGAAAACATAAAAGGTCTAAGGGGGAAAATAATATAAATCCTTCATATGACCTAGGGGTGCTTGAGTTCCAACATAGCAGCTCAGTACAGCACATCTAGTTTACAAAACTGTACATATCAGTAATAAAAAGGATAGGTATGGGTATTTTAATCATTTCTTTTCCATTGGCGCTGAGAAGAAACTAAAGCTGAAGTTCAGGCATGGCTTTTTTTTGCATAGTTACATTAGTCCAGATTGGACCAATGCAAGTATGCATGTGCCATAGCTGGCCGATCCCCGTGGAAGCCACTAAATTTTGGATGTTGAGAGGCTGCCATGCTCTATAGTGAACACAGGTTGCTTACTTGGCAGGGACACAATTCAGAAAACTCTGTATTTTCTCAATGAAAGCAAAGTGTTCTCCAACTGGATGAGGTAGGGAATGGGCCAGTGACATCACACTTGCCATCATGTCTAATATTGATAAAAATGCAAGACGTTCTGTGAATGGTGCCTGTGCCAAGTGAATGACCCTCTCTGTTCACTATGCAACAAGGCAACCACGCGGGATTCAGGAGACATATGCTATCACTGTAGTAGTGGAGCCTACTACAGTGATTTCCAGCTTACACGGGGAATGGCCAGGTATGGCACATGCATACTTACAATAGTCCAAGCTAGACCACTGCAAAAGCTAGTACCTATGCAAAAGAAAGCCATACCTAAACTTCAGCTTTAAGGATGTCACCCAGAGAGCTTATGGAGAACAAAATTAGACTGCCTATGAGGAGTAGCTGGCAGATCTCAAAATATATTCCAAATGTCAATATGTATGTCAGGAGAAATAACAGAAAGACAACTTATTTTACAATGGTGTTCAGAACATGTAATAAGGGCTCCAGTCTGGCATTTTCATTAGTAGCACGGACATGCAAGAAACTAGATTGGGAAGGTTTCTTGCAATTTTTAGAACCATTACTCTGGGGGCCTGGTCATGCTTGGGTCTCAGGATGTGGTGGAATGAAGGGAGTCCAAGCATAGAAAGAGATCGATAAAGACTATGGTTTCTTGACTTTGTGGGAAATCTGATATCTTGAGGCAGGGAGACAGATGCTGACTTTTTTTGGCATAGGAGGAGCCACAATCTTGTATGGCTTGTATGGGAAGACCTTGTGGGTGAACATGCTGACAGGAGGATAGAGTAAAGTAAGGAAGGGGATTACTTGATTGAACTACTGCCACTCCTTCTATGTCCAGTCAGCAGGTTAAGGGTTTGTTCTTGGACAAACTATACTGCTGCCACAACTACCAGGACCTGATTGTCCTGTCAGACATGGGGTCTGGATGACACTGGCTTCACAGAAATATAAACCCTTTGGCAATTACAACTGTTTTCATACACTGTAGGTGTTTTTACTATGTATTTTGCAGCCTGCCTAGAGGTTGTGAAGTACTGTTTGTCCTACAGTCATGTGATGGCATCTATTCTCTCTGAATGTCTGTGTTCCTGCAGTAATACATAAATGGCTGTGACCCTATTATGGTGTATGCTTTGTTATCTGGTCTAAGAGGCCATTGAAAGCACAGAGGTATTGTGGCCACCATGTGTCTATCTTTTAGCAGATAAATAAATTACTCATGCAGAAATGTTCGATTGAGGGCAGATTATTAAGATGCCACAAAACAGACTGAAGATGACGTGTCCACATCACAAACTTTGCAGTAACAAAGCTTTCACAGATCAAACACTAGTTTTAACACAGAGACTGATGTAAAGATATCAGAATAGATAGGAGCGAATGAAAATGTAATTGCTTTTTGCAGTCTTTGTCGGCTGTGGCCAAAAGAGAGCTGTTCTCTCTTAAATATCTGAAAGAGCTTTGCTGACGTTTTTCTAGTCCGACTAAATGTGCAGATCACAATCATACAAAACTACGCAGTTTGCGCTATTACCTTAGACGTCAGCCCTCTAAGATTATTATGGGAGACAATCAAGCTGGCTAGACATAGGGGTGCTTAGTCACTTGTTTGCAAACACACAGCTTTTCTACATCCTTTCAAACAGCATCCGATATGTTATTTTTTTTATCGTTCCCCCTACAATTGGATAGGCCATTAATTGCACCACCGGTTTATATTTGCCTCACAAGGACAGGTCAACATCCAATATTTCTAATCTGTAATGCCCCGTACCAGGGGTGGACTGACAACTCATGGGGCCCCTGGACAATAGGGGATCATGGGGCCCCTGTGTCCTTGCCCAAACTCAAAAAAGACTATGAAAGAGGTACCAGGGGCATCTCATGGGGCCCCCCACTGACCCCGGGCCCTCGGGCAGTGCCTGAGTTTGCAAATGGTCAGTCCGCCCCTGCCCCGTACACACTATAAGAATATCATACGAAAATTTTCATATGAGGATCGATCGTCCGATTATAATTGGATCGTTAGTACACAGCTTTAGAGAGCCGATCACGACAATTCGTGCAGCAATATCCGAAGGGACAAATGCAAAATTTTTTCTCGTACAATACCAGATTGTTATGAGAGTTACATAGCCCTGTTTGTTTATTTTAGCACCTAACAAAAATATACCCCACCAGGTTGTGACTTTCACTTGAGTTCCTTGTTCACTTCACTATTTCAGCTCCGAGGGTGCCCGCTCAGCTCACTAGTCATTGATACATGGGGAAGAAAATCCAGGACAAATGCACTCCTGTTTTATATTGACAGTATACCATTACAGATATCACATATCAGCACGGAAAGGGGGGGGGTTAAAAAGAAATGTGAATGTGTTTTGCACTTAAATTAATGCTTAATCGGAACCAATTAATTATGATTAAGCGCTAGTTTAGGAGTGAAACACGTTAACATTTCTCTGTTTCCCCCGCACTGAGATCTGTATACTGCCAATAAAAGCATATGAGAAGTGCAGATTTCCTTTCCCCTTACCTAGTCTATAATGGTCAACAATGTACTACACCTATAAAGCTGTATTGTCTAAAAAGGAAGAATATTTACATCCTATAATACTGTTCCTTTCCATGTGTCTGGTATAAGCTGGAAAATTAAAGCAAGAACATACCTGGACACAGGCAAGAACCTGATTACAGTAAATGTAAAGATACACTAGAATTTGCCAACAACCCAAAGCAATGATGGAGCTGGCTTTATAGACCAATGAGTCAGCAGAAGGAGGATGTGTCCCAACTCACTTTGAATGTTTGCTGAGTATCAGAATTTAAATTGAAATGCC